CCAGAGTGTTGTTCAGCATGGGGGTGAGTAGAAAATGAAGGCTAATCATGTTTTGGGTGTACTATTCCTTTAAAATGTAATTGTTGTGTGTATTCTGAATTTGTTACCTTTAGGCCATTCTTAACTTTAAGAATGTCTACAACAGAACTATAAGAGGAGAAACTTTCTTTGATCTCATCTCTCAATGTGTACTAAAACCAGTAGCATTATTGGTCACAGCACCTAATTTTGAGCTTTTCTTTCCTCCATTTCAGGTTGTTTTGTGATTAGGTTGCATTTTTTACGTCTACCTCTCCGCAGGGGGAACTTCGCCAGCTGACCTTCCTGTTAGACGACCCTGATGCCGCCCGGCAGCATTGCAGTCACCATCCCTCTCGCTGCACCAGATCTGCTCCTAAACCTCCTCGCTCTCCACGTACTAACAGCGCCCTGGAGGTAAAAACAAAGACTATAATAGATCAAAAAAACTTGTATCATGACTTATAATAATTCTTAATGCACTCTGGGGGACTGTGGCTTGTAATTTGGATGCGTTTAAGGTGAAGCCAGATGTCTGCAACGCCCACGGGGCAGACAGTTAGACTCCCGGAGTTGCAGCGCCAACAGGAGAACATGCAATATAGTCTATAATATAAGCATTTAAAAGGATTTTCTGCTAATTTAATCTAAAAACTGTTCAGACTCCTGTGGTTTTCATCCAGTCTGGTGAATTTAGTGTGTGGTTGCTCATCAGTTCAGCTTTGAACCCTGCTTACTGTATGTGTGTCTGTGTGTTTGAGTTTGGATTTTTTTTTTCTATTAGAATATATTGCTGTCCTCAAATAACCTGAAGGTCCTGCAGAGAATGGGTCAAGTGGTTCTAAAGCTGGGCTGAAATGTTCAGGTTCTTAACAGTCGGTTGTCTGGTTTCAGTGTGTATGTGTGTTTGTGTGGGAAGCCGACACTTGTGGTGGTGATTATAACCAGCTGTGGGCCTGCTGGCATTTTATACCAACACATGGTCTGGTTTTATGTGGTTTTACTCGCACCAGTTTCAGAGGCTGTCAAACCTCAAGTTTGGTGTCTGTTGGTGATTAATTCAGGCGTCAGCGGCTGACCCGTACAGTTTGGGTGTGTACCCAATATTTATGCTTCTTTGAGACGTTTGCGTGGCTGATCTGGCATAAGGGTAACAGTGAGGAGGTCATGTCTGAGGCTGAACCCTTGCCCCAGTCTGAGGTCTAATCCAGTTAGCTTTTTTTTGGGTTAAGCTTTTTTAACTCCATCCATCTTCGTCTTTATCTCTGATCAGTTTGCCTTTTCTTGCTGGGGAATGGACAGACTATGGACGGATAATTTGTTCAACCTGAAGTCTGTGTCTCTGTCTGTTATGCAACGTAATCCGCCAATGAATTTGGCCTGTTGAGGAAGCAACCACTGCATTCAAACACAGGCATTGGTCCTTCCCTGAGGAATTTAATCGAATCATGAGCTTAGACAAGAAAAGGAATTGATAAATAAAAGTATATTCTGTTTGTTGTTTTTACCTTTGGCAGAGCAATATGTTCAATAAGCTGGAAACAAGCATTTCCTTTCTAGAAAAACAAAAAACAAGAGTAAATTTAAAACTTATCCCCCTACTGTACATAAACAGTGACTGTATTCAATGTACAGTACAGTATTCAATGATTATTTGAGCCAAGGGTTCAACAATCAGCTTGTTTCGGGCAATATTTTGCATCCTAACAATCTGTTGTGTCGCTGGCTTCTCAATACCCAAGATGAACTCAGTCTGATAGATGACAGATTCAAAATAAAAAAATAATGCCATCTGAAATTTTTTAGAACATCCACCAGCCTTTATTAGATTTAATACCAGCTGCTCATGAGCAGGATGAGTTTGCACTGGCCATGATGCTTAGCATGATGCTACTTACATTTTGTGAGTAATTCACATTGTGTTGCACATGGGCCAGTGACCATGAAGGATAACATGAATGAGTCAAAAACATAGCTGTTAAAAAAAAAAAAAAACATATAATGGTAAAAAACTCACTACCCACCTTTTGTGGATTAGTAAGAGGCCATGTGTCTAATATGTTTAATATTGAGTCAACTCAATGTTAAACAAGAAAATATGCAGCCCCAAATTATAAGGAATTATATAAAGGAAATTGTATACTATGCATTTTAGTAGGTCTTACTTTATCTCATCAAGTGAGGTCCAATCTGAACATGATGACTTAATGAGATGACTGGAGTCTGGTGTGCTATTGCTTGTTTGGAAAGAGAACCTGTAGCCACATAACCTGACTCCACCAGATAGATTTGCTCCGCATATCCATCTGGAAACCTTACGTTGAAGAAATTTTGGGAAGGGGCAAAAATACTGGTTAGCTGATTGGCCGATGTTGGTGATAGACAGGCCAAATAAACCAATAAGATGAACAAAGCATATGACGTACTAACAGAGCGACGACGAAAACACAACCACAAGCCAGGCACAAGCCAATTGATAGATCAAACTCTTACCGAAACCAGTCGGGAGAATAGCAAAAACATCTTTTCCTCTGAGAAAAGCCTCCAGAGCAGTGTTTTGCTCTTCTTTCAGTGAAGAAATACTCTGTAATTCCGATAAAACTTGCTCGATAGCCACGCTAACGCTAGTTTCATCGGCTGAAGCCGCCATGTTCTTTAGACTGAACTGTCACGCTTCTCGTTGCGTCACACCTCAATCCGCCTCAAAGCCAACGCTGATTGGACGTTCGTTTGCTGAACGGCTCCAAATTTTCTTTAACAGAGAGTCTCCAGACTGATTTGCGAGTGAAACCTTGAAAGCTCGCGAGATCAGGATGGTCTCACGAGGCTAGCAGCCACATGGCCCTTTCTGGAACCACTTTGACACCCCTGCTCTAGATAATAATAAATTCTTACCTTTTTCATTTACTTGAAGAAGAATAATTAACACAGTCAGAGAAACAAATCAGATTAACATTTTATTAAATTTTGTTTGTCAAATAAAACTAAAATAATCGGCATCAGAGCCACAGGTACTTTACACATGGCTATGCCATTAGCTAGAGTTAGACCTTGCTGCCGTTACCCTCCGAGGTCCGCTGGTTGACGCGGTCCTCTTAACTTAGGACATTTTTTTTTTTTAATTACGCACTAAACTGAATGGGCCATATAGTGACGCTTAGAGGTATAACGTTCTCGCCTCAAATTATCTTAAAACTTACTTTTATTGAACAACGGCAACAGAAAAGGGAACTTTTAACTCAATTCTCTGAGCTCTGTGCACATTCCACTGGAAGCTGCTGCTGCTGCTGCAGTGCATGCTGGGACAGCTGTCAATCTCAAGAACAGACAAGTCTTCTCTGATGCATAGAGGGTGGGACGAGAACAACATCCGGGGACTTTGTCCTTTCTCAGTCTTCTTGTGAATTGGAACAGTACTAGGGCTAGCACATGATAACGCACAAGTACACATATTGAGAAACGGCCTTTGTGTGCGTATCTGTGGGGGCAGTCTCTTAGGTTTTAAAAATAAAAGACAATTTCTAAATCTTGTCATGGGAAGCAGGCATTGCCAATCAATCAGGATATTATTTCAGAACATTACCGTAACGGGGCTTGAAAGTAAATGCGTAGCTCATTTTTTGAGTATTTTTTATTTCTGAGGAAAACCAACTATTGTCTGCCCTCAGTGCTGAAAGAATGACTTTGAGAAGTTTAATGTGACAGAATGAGAAGATGCTTAGTGAGTGTGAATATTTATACAAGGCACTGAATATGATCACCTGCATCTCAATCCATGCAATGTTCTCTAGCAGAGATCCAAGATGTCTAAAAACATCAGCCAGCCCTTTGAATCAAAAATGTCCGTAATTGTTTGTTTTATCTGATCAGCGTGTCGAGACCAAGCCTCTCTCTACCGTCTGCTACATTACACAGGCTTTTGTTATATACCGTGTTGCCAAATTCTGTAAACCAAACTAAATATAGCTGATGACATGACTTCACTCTCAGAGGGAATCAGGTTTCTGGAATCACCAGATGTTTGACAAAGTGATGGATGAATGCTTAGAGACAAAAGACATGCAAATCTGCTTTGAATCTGTTTGTGTGGATAAAAAAGAGGGAAAAAAAGACTGCATTATCAGTGGATATCGGTTTTCCTTTGACAAGCAGACACAGCAGTCCCTGATGTGAAAGAAAAACAGTAAGACAGACCATGCCGTGCCTCGCCAGCCCAGCTTGGCATGAAAGCTCGCCATCGACTTGAAGCGTAAGTGCCTCAGTGATGATGTAAATGTCAGCACCCTCTCCTGCTGTTGTACAAACTGTTTGCAGGAACAAGCTGCACCGACAGAGTCCCCCTCTGCTTGGTGGATGTCTTTCTTTTATCTGTATCTGCTCATCTGGTTCTGTTTTTTTACTAATGTGCCTCATTTTGAGTCCTTGGTCTTTATCCGTTTTCCTTCATGTTTTCAAGGCCCTGTATGTTTTAAAGTAGACATTATTTTCAATCTTTGATATATAGATTCCCCTTTGGATAAAATTGTGTAGATTGCTAGTTACTCTTGGCAAAAAAAGCTGCCATCAAGCATCCATCCATTTTCCGTCATGCTTATCCCAAGCGGGGTCGCGAGGGGTGCTAGTGGCTATCTCCGGCTGTCTACAGGTCGTCAGTCCATCGCAAGGCAACACAGAGACAAACAGGAAACACAACCATTCACACACACACTCAGACCAACAGAGAATTTAGAGAAGCCAATTAATGTAACAGTCATGTTTTTGGACTATTGGAGGAAGCTGGAGTACCCGGAGAGAACCCATGCATGCTCAGAGAGAACCTGCAAATTCCATGCAGACAGACCCCAAGCTGGGAATTGAACCCGGAACCCTCTTGCTGCAAGGTAGCAGTGCTACCCACTGCGGGCAACCCAAATCAAGATTTTCAACTAAATAAAACATATTTTCATGTCACTTGGGAGGCATTTTGTTAATTTCTTTGTTTTGAGTGCCTGTTTAAGATCATGCTAGAACATTTTAGTAAAAGTCAAACTAAATTTTATCTAAAATAATTCAAAGCCTTAACTATTTTCTTTTTTCTTTAAAGCCATTGCTAAAAAAAGACCTGATCAATCAAAGTGCAGGAGGCAGGCCAATAAAGAGATGCTTAAATATGGTGTCCCAATAGAACAATATATCTTTAAAATTTCAACAACTTCAAGCTGTTAGAGCTTTTCTTTAAAAATAGATGGTCTTGGGTAGAGGTGAGTATTGGCATGAGTGTTGCGATTCGATACATGTCGC